AGGGGCCGGCCTGGCATTCAGAGCACTGGCTGGGGAGCCAGGGGACCTGGGCTCAGGGCACAGCCGTCCCTCCTACCTGAGTGACTGAGGGCCGCTTCCTCCAGCTCCCCAAGCCCAATCTCAGACAGAGCCAGGACACCAGCACCCTAACAATGTGCCGGAGGCTTCATGGGCCTGGAGCACAGCCAGTGTCACACCCTTGATCCTTGTCAAACCTGGTGGCCTCCCTCCCTCAAAGCAAGGCTAGTCAGGAAGCGTTCAGACCACCTGGCAGGCCCTGGTGAATCTGTGGGAGGCCAACGGTGCACAGGCCCCCTTCAGCTTGCCTCTCCACAACTAGATGCCACCACTTCCAGGAAGCCCTCCCTGATCTATCTGTGTCTCCATTCTGAAGGCGGTTTCTTCGTCTTCTGGGCTCCATGCATTGTCATCGGTCCCTCACAATGCAGGAAGGGGTCTCACAGGGGTCTGCGGCTGTGGTGATGTGGGCAGGAGGCAGAGGTTGGGGGCATCAAGCCTGCAAGGCCACCAGAAGGCCATGCTTCGTCCTGAGGCCATGGGCGCCATGACCCGGCTTCCGGCAGGGAAGGTCCCGGTCTCACCAAGTCTCCTCGGGTCGCTGTGTGGGGGAAGGGCAGAGGCATGTCGTGGGAGGACCACAGGCTGGCGGACCGGGCGAGGGTGCATTTGCTGTCCAAGCCCCAGCCGGAAGGCCAGTGGCACAGCGTCCTGGTCTCAGCTCTGCTCCCTCTGGACTCGGGCTCCCGGCGGCCTTGGAGAAAGCTCTTGGCCAAGCAGCCCTGCCGGGGTTCCAAGTCCTCCAGCGCCCACAGCCAGATGCTGTGGCTCGGCCCGGCTGCCCCGGCGGGAGAGGGCGGGGCCGGAGGGGAGGCGTCACCCTGCCTGAGTGGTCCCAGATGCTGAACTCCGAGGCCTGTGCAGCCCCAGGAAGCTGCTGAGAGGATCACAAATCAAAAGCCAACCCAAGCTCTTCAATAAACAACACGGGGAGACGCAGTCAGAACCAGCTTGGGGTTGCACAATAAAAGCCGATCATGAAATGCCACCTTGTAAGCTACACTCTGAGCGGACAGCAGCCTCCGAGGCCCGTTTGCTTGCAGCCAGAGAGAGGCTGCCTGGCCTCGGGGCCCCGCTTAGACACACAGGGAAGCCTCTGCTCTGAGCAGGCCCTCGGTATCCCCACTCTTACCACCCTGGGGATGGATATTTATCCGCTCTGTGCCACCGCGCTGCCTGAGCATGGACCTGGGGACGCGCAGGGGCTCCCTTGAGAAGTGGTGAGCCTCCGTCACTGGAGGTATGCAAGAAGGCCGGGAGGGTTACAGGAGATTCCACATCACATGGGCCATCCTCGCATTTCATGTCATCTACAGAAGGCTGGCCCCTGCCCCGTGAGGCTCCGAGCCCGGGGAGATGGAGATCACGCAGAGAAGCTGACTGACAGTTATGGCTGTGTGCAGGGCCCGCCTGCGACCCTGGCTGTGCTCACCGGGCAATGAAAAGACTACCTGGGCACAGTGGCCAGGGCAGGTGACTCAGCAGCCGTGGGACATCGGGCCAAGGCAGGATGGTGAACCGACCACGACAAGCTGAGGGAAGGAAGCTCCGGGCAGCAGGTGCTGTGTGTGCAAAGGTCCTGGGGTGGGATAGAGGAGACAGTGGGAGACAGCACAGAGGGGTGCAGGCCAGAGGCCAGTCGCAGGGCCCTGTGAGTCAAGGGAAGTGTTGGGGTGCCTTGCGGGGAAGCCTGCCGGTGACAGGCAGGACAGATTGACCAAGGCTGGCTGCTGTGTGAGAAGTGATGGGACGGAGGATGGTCGGGGAAGTCAAGGCATCCCAGGAGACGTGTCGTGGGTGAGCTGAGAGGACTCCTGGTGTACAGGAGAATGAGGGGCGGAGCGGGGAGGGGACCCAGGCTCCCCACTGAACAGCCTGGTGCTCCTCTGGGTGAGGCTGGGAAGAGTGGAGCCCGAGGCGGCTCCGCAGGAATCTCCACGAGACTCCAGCTCAGGGGAGACCTGGGGGCTGCAGCCAGGGCCCGAAGTTCCAGCACATGGCGGGGACTCAATGGCAGACGAGCTCACGGGGGCATGCGATGGGACCGAGGAGACCCTGCTGCCCACAGAGGCTGGGAGGAGAAGGCGGAGGAGCTGGCCTAGGGGTGGGGAGAGGAGAACCACAGGAGGCTGCCCTCCCCCGTAGGACTTCTGCCCACAAATGCCCAGGGCAGACAGTGCCGCACACACCACTAAGTGTGGCCAGCACCCAGCACCTTCTGGTAGGGCCCTTGGGAGCGCGGAAGCCCTGCTACACTGCTGGATACTCCACGGAGGCCGAGCCTGATGGAGTCAGGGGCCCAGGCCTGACCCGACCCCCAGCCTCAGGGGCCCTGCCGCCCCCTGCAGAGCAAAGCTAGGAGCCTCACAGAGCACAGCCTTCCAAGGCCAGTCAGACCCAGGCCAGGCCCCGCCACTGGGTCACTTCCTGACCATGTGGCCTCAGAGCAGTCACTCACCCTTCCTGGCCTCCGGCGGCACATCTGTGGTGCCTGGGAAAGGGCCAGGCTCGCTGTGGGAAATGAGACAGGGCTGGGGAGAGGCTGGACACCCAAGGCCTCCGCAGGGAGTGGCTCTGGGTGTCACCCTGCTGAAAGCTGGGTGTCCAAGTTCCCTGCGCATCGAGCTACAACGGCAGGGCTGCACACCGCCCACAGTGTGAACCGTGCCCTGGAGATGGCCAGCAGCCTCCCGCCTGCTCCCTCTGCCGCCCTCCCTACCCAGCCCCAGATGCCCACGGCCTCCCCGACCCCTTGGGCTCTGGGATCCTGTGCAGGGCTCTGCCTTCCGCGTGCCTCTCCGCCCTTCCCCAGGCAGCTCCCACTCCTCCTCCGCAGCCTCTCCTCTGCAGAGCCTCTGCTGACCTGGCTGGGTGAGACAGATTTGGGGGCAGTTGCCATGGTGATAATGTGTGGAATAACGTCGCCTGGCGACCGCCCATCAGGCAAGGGGCATGTGCGCCCCCACTTCTCATTCATGGGAACCCAGGGTGAGTACGCTGTGTAAGATCACCTCCTCTGGAAGAGGTGCTCTGCGACGGCACACTTGGAGCACTGAGGCCTCAGCCCGTGGCCCCACGCTTGTGGGCTTGGCCGTCTGAGCTCCCCATGCGCCTGTCTGTGGGCATCGGTTTTCCTCCTCCCACCCTTTCCTCTCTGTCCCGATGGTCTGTGAGGATTGAGGGCACCAGCCGGTCTGCTGATGGCCTGCCCTGTCACCAGCCTGGGGCCAGCCAGGCACACAGAGAAGGCACCTCATGACAGGGACTGCAGGAGTCAGTGTCTTGGAAGCCAGGCCGCCTCCAGCTCTCTGCCGGCCCCCAGCCCCGAAGCCTTTTTCTCCTGGTGCCTTGCGCAGCAGGGATCCGGGTGCGGGGTGGGGAGGCGGCCCTCATCACACAGCGGGGCTGCAGTGGGCATGCCCGGGAGGGGCACCCCAGCACCAAGCCCCAAACTAATGAGCCGCAATGACGGCACAGGAGGCGTTGAGTCAATGACAACATCTCCGAGACCCCACAGTCCCACACCCGCATCGTCTGCCTCCTGAGCGGCCTCAACACAAGCCGGGCCTCACCACACTCACCCCCATCATAGTTTGAAGGTGTTCCCTCCAAAACAGAGGTGTCGCCAATTGGAGACTTAGGAGGTGATAGGTCATCAGCACGCCTCCTTTCAAGCATGGGCTGAAGCTCCTTGTGAGAGGCCACAGCAGCGTCCGGCCTTTTCCCTGCGTGCACTCCTGCGGGGGCAGACGCACCTTCCTCCCTTCTGCAGAGTGCAGCCCTCAACAGGCAACAGCCTTCAGAGCTGTGAGAAACATTACATTTCTGTCCTGTATAAATCGCCATCTATCTCACATGTTGTACCAGCACCAGACAGACTGGGGCTCCCTGCTGAACCCCAAGTGGCTCTTTCACATAATCCTAGCTAGTCCTGAGTGATGCTTCCCACACGGGCTCCCAGGAACCCCAGCATGCTGGGAGAAAAGAGCTCTCGGCCGCAATTCTCCTGGGAGCCCCTGGATTTGATCATTCGAGAACACTGCAGGGCTTCTCAGAACCTCTGGTAGGACTGGCCTGTGAGCTGCCACTAGAGGAGTCTTCCAACCTTGGCAGGCCACAAAAACACTTGGAATTGCGTTGAGAGCACCGCAGACATCAGAGGAAGCCCTCTGCAGGCTTCCCAGGCGTCCCGGCAGCCGGTGCTCCCTATGGTGCTCCCGAAGCTCCACGGAGCCTGTCGTGGCTGCTACTGAGTCTCGAGCCTGCCTTCCTAAGAGGCACCCCCCACACGGTAAGGTACAGCAGGTTTTCCAGCATTTTCCTCCACGCACAGAGTCAACCTGCATGGTGAGATGCGACCCAGAGCTGAGGCGGCAGGTCAGGGGAGGCTGTTCTAGGATCTGACTGACCCGAACATTCTCTCCCGCAAGCAGCCTCTGCCTGGGGCCCTGAGTAGTTCAGGACCTGCACGCTGACCCTTGCCACACTGTCCTGCACGCTGACCTTTCCCACACGCACTTAACCACAGTCACAAGGCATCGCCCAAGAGGGCACCCAGGCTGGAGATTTATGGCAGGAAAGAGCGCCCTTCACCTAATACCCAGACAGAGCAGGGGTCCGAGGACCCCGGGAATGGGCACGAGACACCAGTTCTGAAGAGACCAGAGCTGGAAACATTCCTAGATGAGCCCCGTTGGGTGGCCCGGAGACCACAGGTTTCCCTTCTGACTCTGATTCTGTGACCTTGAGGACAGTGGCTTACTTTTCTGGGCCTCAGTTTCTTCACCTGAAAGACCAGAGGGCTGGTGGGATGATTTTTGAAGGGCCACCCAGTGGCGACCTCGAGTCCGGCCCTAACTCCTGGCCTTAGTTTCCCCAAAACAAAGAAGGCTTCACGTCCTCCCTGGCCCCCCAGCGCTTACCCAACGGGCAGGCGCCCTTCTGCAGCTGGCGCACGGGCGTCCCTGAGAGCTGCAGCGCGCGGCGGCTGGCCGCCTGCAGCGCGCACACGTTGGCATAGGTGTGCCCGTCGGTGCCGCACACGGGGTGCGTCCAGCGGCAGCGGCACAGGCCGCGCACACACTCCAGGCTCTCTCCGCACGGCGAGTCCAGGGGGCCCCCGCAGGGTTCGCCCTCGCTGGCGGCGCACACCAGGCAGCAGTTGCAGAGGTCCGGCACGTAGCCACCGGGGCAGCGGGGGCTGGGACACCGCGACACGTCGCAGCGCGCCGGGCATGGCGCCGCGGGGGGCTCCCGGGCCAGCGTCAGCGAGGCCAGCGCGGCCAGCGCGGCCAGGAGCAGCGCGCGCGCCTGCATGGCGGCCGGGCCAGCGGCGGGTGGAGGCGTGGGAGACCGGCCGGGGGCCGGCGGGGACACCGAAGCCGCTCCGGGGCCGGGCGCCAGGCGCCTACGGATGGGACTGGGGCGGGCGCGCGGCCACGTGCGCAGCCGGCTCAGGCTGGCGGGCGTCGGGACGGCAGGGGCATCACCGGGGCGCGAGCAGCTCAGGGACTTCGGCTCCCTCCAGCCTGACTGTCCGCGGGCGGCGGCCCCGCGCCTTTAAAGGCGACCGCTCGGCCCGCCCCTGCTGGAAGGGGCGGCCCAGCCCCTCCGCCAGCCCCGCCCAGGCCCCAGCAGGGCCCCGCCTGGCCTTCCGGGCCTGGACCCACCCGGCAGGCCTTGGGACTCTGGTCTGCCTGGTGGGGAAACCTGGGGCTACGGTCATGCCAGGGGCCTTTCTTGTGGGGACCCGCCGGGCCCAGCCTATCCCAGAAACCTTGGAGGATGTGTTCTCCCTGCTCTGGAGGAGCCATCCGGGTCCGGTCTCCTCTGTGCCTCAGTTTCCACCTGCAGGAAGGGAATTGACAGCACTTCTTGACTTCACAGGGTTGTTGAGCGAAACTCGGAGGCCAGGGCTGAGCAGTGCTCCTGAATCCTCGCTGCCCACGGAACCGGAACCTGTTTCCGTTCTCGTCATCCCTCCTGCACTCTCTGCAGGGCCCCTTCAGACCCAGGTCCCGTCAGGAGGGTCACGGTCTGGTGACAGTGCATCCGCTAATGGGGTGAAGGCTGCGGGAGGTGGGACAGAGGGCAGAACCCCCCCTTGGAGGTGAATTTCAAGCCTGGAGAGGATCTGGTCAGGCAGCGGGATGGGGAGGGGGAGCTGGCCGTGACCTGGGCGGAGACTCCCAAGCAAAAGCAGGTGCAGGCGGCAGGAGACAGCCGTGAGCACAGCCCGGGGGCTGCGGGTCTTCACGCTTCGCGTGTCCCCGGTCCCCTGGGCTGCATGGTGAAGCCTGGGAGTTCATCAGTACAGTCAAACGCATAGGACAAAGGCCCCGGGGTCACCAAGGGGAACAATTCCATCAAAACACAGTTGTCAAAATACATGAAACGTTCATGACTGTGTGGCCTGTGGGCTTTTTTATTAGCATGTTAAATTACAGGATCTGGCCTGCCGTCTGCTACCAGTGGACTTTTCCCAGCAGCCCTGGGCAGAGGGCTGCCACTGGAGACGCCTTCGGTGAGGGTGGTGACATGGGGGTGAACACGCCTCTGCTTCTGCCGGCCCCGGAGCCACAGGCCCTGCTGGCTGGGGCCAACTGCAGCCCGGAAGGAATGAGCGCTGGACTTCGGTTGCAGTTGCTGGTGTAGATAAGGATGTTTCTCCATCCAGGTTCACAAGCACCCAAGGTAAGAATCGGGGGGTGAGGGTGGGGGGTACCTCTGGCCCAGAGGAGGGAGGGGGAGCTGGAGGTTAAAGGGTCTAGGGGAGTGGGAAGGTGGAGGGGCCTGATCCCTGAGGGCTCTGTGTCCTCGAAGGCCTGGGCACTGTGAAGGCGTCGGGCAGGGAGTGGCCCCATCAGACGGGAGGAGGTGGGAGGAGGTGGGCTCCAGGTGTGAGCCTCTGTAGCTCCCAGAGAGAGTGAGGGGTTGAAGGGTCCTGGGGCTTCCCCTCCTAAAAGGCCATTCGGCAAGGGGCAATAGGACCTGCCTTTGTGCCTCTTTGAAGATGTGGAGAATTTCAGCCCATTTCTTGGAATGGCCCAGAATGCCAGGAGTTGGGGCCTCAGGGCTGGGCTGGGCTGGACTGGGCCTCCTTCAACCTTGGCCAGGGCTCCTGGCTCCAGTCTCTGCAGACTGGGCTTGCCCAAAGGGCAAGGAGAATTGTTCACATGTTGGGATGCCTGTCCCTCGAGTAAGCCTTGGTGGGGTACTGTGACCCAGAGCTGGCTTTTTGGGGAGGGCTGTGTCATCTCTCAGACACCTGGCCCTGACGATCAGTGCTTTTCCTTCCCTGGATCCTGCAGTGCACAGAAAACTGAGTCCCTGGGAAGAGCTCATTTCCCCTAAGCTTTCATCTACCAATGGGGAAACTGAGTCTGAGAGAGGGTCCAGGACCGGCTGCTGCAGCAGGTCAGAGTTTTCACAGCCTGCCACAGTTTCCAAGGGAAAGCAGCTGTGGATGTGTGGGGCCTGAGGCCCCTGTGGTGCCCTGCACGCACCTGACCTGGTCTTTCCGAGGCCCCTGTGGTGCCCTGCACGCACCTGACCTGGTCCTTCCGAGGCCCCTGAAAGGTGGGCGTTAGGAGCCTTAGAACACGGCTGGGAGGAGAAGGTCAGAGCTCTGGCAGGCAGGCGTCAGGTCAGGTCTGTCCGTAGGTCAAATCCTTGCTCCTCCCTCGAGACCATGCTGTCCCCAGCAATCACCTGTCTTGACCACCTTGCAGTGGGGATTTAGTCCCCTTGTACAGAGAGGGAAACTGAGGACAGAGTGAAAACACCCTTCTATACTCTGCAGCTGGGATGCAGTTCCCTGGGGTGGCCTCTGTTCTTCCCTGAAACGGGCAGGTGGGGCTCACGGTGGCCGGTCATGACGTTGGCTGGAGCCCAGCGCTGTCCTTAGGAGAGCGGCGCCCCCTGCTGCTCCTGCCCTGCACTGCCTCTCACTCAGCGAACCTCCGGCCTCCCAGCCCCAACCCTGGGCACCTGGCCTAGGGGGCAGGAGCAGGGGAGGATCCTCCAAGGACCCGAGACCCTCCCAGGAGGCTCCTCTCCAACCCTGGCTTCTCCGACAGACAAGAGGCACGGGGCCGCCTCTGTCGTCAGCCCAGAGCTCCAGATTCAAGCTCCTCCAGGCCGGCGTGTGCAGGTGCAGGGCTGGCCCTCTGGCCTGCGCTGTCTCAGGTGGTTCCATTTACGTACATCCCTCCTTCGTTCATTTCTACTTGCTGCCCCTTGTCACCCTGCCCCAAATATTGACTGTTCTTTCAAACAAGCACGAGATGAGATGTGGCTTCTCCTCAGTGGAATGGAATTCACTCCCTCCAGGCTGGGCCTGGGCTGGGCCATGGTCTGCTGCTCTCCAGGGTCCGCTTGTCCTGTGCCAGGACCCCATGTCCCCATCCCATCCCTCTGCCTCTGCCCAGAGCTGGACAGCAGTGGCCGCCCTGAGCCCCCAGGCTGTGGGCAGGCTCTGCCCTTTGACTGGACCCCTGCTCAAGTCTGGGCTTCACATCAAATGAGGTCACACTGCTTACAACGTTCCAGGAACCTCGAAGACCTTCGTCAGCTGTGATAAGACCCGTGTGAGTGGGTGACTCAGAGGGTGGGCTCTGCTCAGGCAGATGGCCAGGGGGTGTAGGTTGTGACATGGGCCACCCTTGCTGCAGCTCCCAACACCGACATCAGCTCTACCCTTCTTGGGGTGTTTCTGTACGTTCTAGGAACAGCCCCTCAAGGGGATGCCAGTTATACCCATTTTATGGGTGCAGAAAGCTGAGCTAAGGGAGTTTAAATGACTTCCCCAAGGGCCCTCAGCCATTAGGTGATGGACCCAGGCTTCAGGAAAGTTGGGTCCGACCCCAAAGTGTATGTTCTTTTCCTAGAACCACACAGCTGTTCCATACCCATTTTACGGAAGGAAAAACTGAGGCCCACGAAGAGGAAGTGGGTGGCCGAGACAACCAGGCTAACTGATATCAGTAGGTCATGTTGACTGAAGCTCCACGATGTTCTGTGTACCAGGGGCTGTGCAGGCGTCTAGCCCTTATCACACAGAGGAGGTATTCCTATTGCCGTGCCCATTGCACAGATAAGGAAAGCAAGGCGCAGAGAGGCCCAACAGCTCATCCAAGGTCGCACCGCGAGTGAGCTGCGGCGTTGGACTGGAACCCAGGCAAGGGACTCATCTTGTACAGAGCTACGTAGAGTCTCACAGGAGGAAGCCTGAGAGGAGGAGGAAGGAGCGGGGAGATGGCTTCGAGGGCCTGGGACCCGCCCTGGCTGACGAAATATGATGAATCAGGGCCACGCTGAGCAGGGGTCACCTTTTCCTTTTCCATATGGCGTTCCTCCTTCGGCTGTCTGCAGCCTGAACCCTTCTTGGAAATCGCCCTGACTCCACCCAGCCCCGCTGGAGGGGTCGAAAGTCAACCTCCTGGACCAGAGCGGGCTCTGCCTCCTGGGAGGGGCTGTCCTGCCCGAAGACGGTGCCGCTGTCCACCTACTGAGGGGCCGCTGGCCGGGGTCATCTGAGGCCTCCATCCTTCAGTGGGAGCTGGGGTGAGGTAATGGCCTGAACCGTGGCTCTGGCCACCTGGGTGTCAGGAATAGGGAAGCTGTCGGGGATGGGCGGGGGCACGCGGCTCTGTGGGGTGGCACAGGGACGCTTGAGCTGCATCCGTTGGGTCCCAGACACCTGGGGACTGAAGAGGGCCGAGAAGGTGGGGCGTCTGCCTGAGGAGCGAGGAGGCATCTGGTGACCCTAGGGCTCCTGTGGGGAATGGGCGCTCCTCGGGCGCCCCCTCCACAGTGCGAGTGCTGAGCCCTTCCCTGACCCGGCATGGTTTAATCCTGCCATCATTCCCATGTCCTAGGGAAGAATGCAGAGGCTCCGAGAGGCAAAGCGACACCCCACCCCTCGTCCTGAAATGCCACCACCTCTAAGACAACCTCGGGCAAAATGCCCCGCAGCTGACACCATGGACCGCCTTCTCTATCTGAAACACACAGGCCTCCTCCCGACCCAACCTGACCCCTCCCTCCCAAGCCCTGGGAGCCAGCCCCACCCTCATCCTGAAGACTCTGCGGGTGGGGACGGCTGGTGCATCCGGCCTCCCTGTTCCCAGGACCCCCGCCGCAGGGACTTCCTCCTCCTCCATCCCTCCCACGCCCAGCTCCAGCATCACCCGAAACTGCTGCACCTTCCCAGCCCCTGGTTCCCAGCACATGCTGGCCCATGCTACCTGGCCATGTGGGCCTCCATTCTGCTGAGCAAATGGGCACCGGGGCTGTTGTACCTGCTGGAGTGAAGCCTCCTCCTTCCCGAGGAGAAAGCGGCTGGGGCTGGGTCGTCGCAGCGGGGCCGGGTACACCCATCTGGAAACCGGGATTTCCTGTGCTGCCTCTTCCTCTCTCACGTCCAGCAAGAAGTCTTAAATAAAATATAAAAAAAAAAAATTATATATATTAGAAATAAAAATAAAATTATATAGAATATATAAAATAAAATTATATAGAATATAAAATAAAATTATGAATATTAAAATAAAATAACAAAATTTGTGTAACAT